TTATCAAATGGGAAGAACAGGTATCTGAACCTAAAGAGGACACAACGCGGGCTTCGACAGGGATGTCCCTTGTCACCTTTCTTATTTATGCTGTATCTACAGGGACTAGAAGCCAAATTAGAGGGTAGTCGACTCGGATTCAGCCTCTCTTTCGCCAAGCAAGGAAAACACATTGAACAGTCATTACCAGCATTGATTTATGCAGATTATATAGTATTAATAGCCGACAACAAGAAAGATCTACAGGGATTGATAGACATCTGTGGTAATTAAGGAGATAGGTTAAATTTGAAGTTCAGCAAGGAAATATCAGTAATCATGATCTTTAATGATAACAAAGGCAGTGAGCATAAAATACAAGAAGTCACTCTAGAAATAGTGGATAAATACAAATACTTGAGCGTATGGATAAATAACGGGTCTGAGTATCTAAGGGAGCACGAAAGATACGTAATGCCTAAGGCTACCAGGAATGCAGCTGTAATGAAAAATACGGCACTGCGGAGCTACAATGGGTACGACGTTGTGAGAGGAATTTGGAAAGGTGTCATGGGCCCGGGTTTGACGTTCGGCAATGCGGTCTTTTGCATTGAATCAGAAGTTCAAGCAAGATTTGAAATTAAGCAACGTGGCATAGGTAGACTTGCTTTAGGAGCACACGGGAATACCCCAAATCAGGGGTTACAGGGAGAGATGAGATAGACATCGTTTCAATTTGGTTTCCGCAAAGGTCTTAGCACTGAACTGGCGTTATTGGCTCAAAAAGACTTAATATTAACAGCACTAAACGAAAGTAAATTAGTCCTAGGGATTTTTGTTGACTTCACTAAAGCATTCGATCTTATAAATCATACCCTTCTATTAGAGAAACTGTTACGCTATGGCTACCGCGGCAAGGCAGCAGAACTCATAAAATCCTATCCACAACATCGTATTCAGCGAGTCGACATAAACCAGGACCTCTCTAGTCCCCTTGCCGTGTCTTCGGGTGTGCCACAAGGCAGTATCTTAGGCCCATTTCTTTTTAATCCCTATAATAATGATATTATTGCCTTAGGCAAAATTTATAATTTACGCTTATGATACTAGCATCTTTTTAATAGGGAATTCGGCAGATGAATTATAGATGAAGCCAACTTAACCTTACAAAAGTTAAACGAATGGGCAACTCAAAACAGCTTCAAATTAAATACAAATAAAACAAAAGATATATTATTTCGCAGTAAAAATAAAAAAAGTATATAGGTAATAAAACTTTAACAGTAAACTCCTCCCCTATCGCCCTCGTATCCAATTTTAAAACATTAGGCGCCGTCTTTCAGGAAACATTATGCTGGGATGCACATGTCGATTGCCTAGTAATAAAGCTCTCTCAAGTGACTAGTATTGTTTACCGCAATCGTCATATACTGTCACAGAACATTATGATGCTAATTTTCAACAGTTTGTTTCAATCTAGACTAAACTATTGTCATTTAGCTTGGGGCACCACTACACAAAAAAATCTACACAGAATACACGTACTACAAAAAAAGTTCTTACGCTCAATTGAGAATGTCCCAAGACATTTCCACACACGTGAGTATTTCTTAAAATATAGGATACTTCCAACCACAACACTATATGATTACCGTTTGTGTAAGGCGTATAACAAGAGTTAAAAACCAGATCAGATTTTCTTAAGCGCCTTTCAGGTTACAAGAAAACACCCCTGTATATGCAACACGTAAAAGGGAGTACTGGAAAATACCGACAGTGCGAACAATATATGGAAAACTAACACTCGGAAAAAACTTACCAAAATTATTAAACAGATTAATTTACGAAGGGTTACAATTAGAGAACATGTCTTTTAAAGCCATGCACAGTTATTTTGAACTCAAGACAAATAATTCTTTAAAAGCACATTCTTCTGATGCCTCTCATTTCTAAATCTCACGTGCACAAATAATTAAGGTCAGCGTAGGAAGAACGTTATTGTAATGCGGTATTTTTCTTCTTTTTTTTTCTTTGTCTCAGCAAAATATTCAATTTTGTAAACTTAGACATTATTGTTTTTTCTATATATGTCTTGTATTATATAGTGCTGATTTATGTTGCTTTCTTGTCGTTGCATCACTGCTGTTCAGCGCCAATGCCAGCGGCCTCGTCAAGCTGTCCAAACTACAGCTTTTCCCCCCGCCCCGTCGTATCATAAATTGTATTGATGCGAAAATAAAGTCATTGTCGTTTAAATGCAGGGAAGCTAGCAGCAAGATAGAATTTGAGAGCGATTGAGAAAAATGGGAGAGGAGCGTTGGGCTAGGAAAGTTTTCAGTTACTTTTACATGAAGAGTGTCGATTACTAAATGGAGGAAACAAACTCGAAACAGCAGAATGCCAAGCCAAAAAGAAACATCAGTTAAAAAGAAGGCGAAGGAAACAGAGAGGGACACGTGGGATATGGGCATGCTTACGAAATCATCACTGGAGAGCTACCAAACTTTTAAGCAGGAAATTGCAAGGGAAAAGATCTACGATGATTCTCGGGGTATTTCTCTGCTGTTCGAGGCTGTAACGGGAGTATTGCGAACCAAGACATACCGAACAAAATACGAAGACACAAACACGGTATGTAGTGCGTGTAAAGAGGAGGAGGAAACGGCTGAACATTTGATAATGTTCTGTAAAGGGCTCCACTCTAGAGTCGAAGATAATGGTGCCGAATTCTTGAAAGCATTGGGGTTTAAGGACATTGAAGGCAAAATAAACTTTAAATGGGTAGAAATAACCTGGAGGAGGCTAACTGATTGGTGGCTACAATCGAGGCGCGAGTGAAATTCAATCCTTAAACACCCAGTGATAGTCCTTAACCTTTTGGCTAGGTGGCGTGAGCCACCGCCCGTTCTAAAGGGCAGAGCTGGATCCGTCCATCCATCCATCCATCCATCCATCCATCCATCCATCCATCCATCCAGACAGACAGACAGACAGACAGACAGACAGACAGACAGACAGACAGACAGACAGACAGACAGACAGACAGACAGACAGACAGACAGACAGACAGACAGACAGACAGACAGACAGACAGACAGACAGACAGACAGACAGACAGACAGACAGACAGACAGACAGACTATCGTTTTTTGACGTCCTTCGCAGCGAAGCACGCATATACATGTCCAATTTTCGTTTTGTTTTCTCCCCCTCAGGTGCGCTTCATTGGCCACGAAGCCTCACAGTTTTGGTAACACATGCCTCGATACCTCGTGCCATTAAAATTTGGCGGCATGTGGGAGCATTTCGACTACGATCGTCAAGGGAATTTCGTGTGCAGCAAGGGCATGTTCCTCGAAATCATCTGAGACTGTGGATACAAAAAGTAATCACTGATCAGGGAATAGATGATTTGTCGTTTTAAATACCCATCCACCAATAAAGGTTACAGACGCTGGCTGAAACCTCTTCCTAACAGAAATGTAATGCCGGCCTGTTTTGTCTTTTAATGTCTGCAACTGGGGCCTAATGTAATTAACACTTTTTTTTGCAGTCAGGAAGAAGTTCGATAAGTGCTCACTCGTCTGGTCCAGTGACAGATTAAAAACGAAAATTACGGTTTCTGAGTAATTTACCTATAAGTCATTGATCAACGCATAGAAATTACATGCAACAGTTTTCTTGTTGTTGATAGCGCTATGCTTCCTTGTTGGTGCTCTTCTTGTTCTAACAAAAGCGGCCAGCCCTTCTTGTATCACTACGGTGAAGTACATCTTTAAGCGTCGAACCCACCCTCACGTAAGTGGCGACGTTCATCCCGCCGATTTCAGTCTCAAGGGTATTCATTTCCGCGATATTTGAAGGCCACAGGAAAACCAAAAGCCCATGCGGCTGCCGTAGGCGGATAGTGCGCCGAAGAAAAACAACCTTCGGGCTCCTCACTCTTGTGCTTTCGTCTCTGAAGGACGCACGTGCAAGCATCCTCACAATCTGATGAAATAGAGCTACCACTTTCTCATGGTTATTCACAACGTCTAAAAGTCTAGCTGGGGTTATTATATTTAGAGCTAGAAGAGACTATACAGCCAGTGTTATAGCTATACAGCCAGTGTTATCCAGCCAGTGTTATAGCAAGAATAGTATCACTGAGCGAAGAGTGTAGTAGCAGTTTTGGTATGGAGTGCAAAACGCACTTCACACGATACGATTGATGACATTTATGATGTCCCATTAGTATACCGCCAAGGTCCCGCGTAAACACCATGGATTTTTTCAGCGCTTTCTTGAGGTGATGTCACTGTCAATTCGTTTTATATCTTGCGCCCTGCATGTCTTCTAATATTCAAAAAATCTGGTGAGAAACTGAAACTTAAGTATCCAATGTGAATTGATTTCACATTGAGAACACCAAGGGCGAGACAGAGATGAAACGCAAAAACCAACACTTGTTTTTCGTCACTCTCCTTCCGACTCGCAGTTTGTTTTCGAGCTACGTAAGTTGCATCATGTAATACAATAGATCAAATCTCAGTTAATTAAGTCCATATCTACAGTACTGGTAGCCACGATGAATCAACGGCATAGCCGTATTGATCTCTAGAACAACATTGTAGAACAGTGTTGGAAAATTGAGGCCGCACAGTAGATGGTCCATTGCCAACAGCGTACTGTGAACGTCCTTGCATGTGGGAAAGCATAGTTGGCAGCTTATCATTTATTAACAAACGGGAGAATGTTGTGACCTTGTCGGCTCACGTGCTCTTTCGTTGATCCTGGCGTCTATAGTGTCACTGTTTCAGTGTGTTGTCTTGGGGTTAGTACGGGTTTCAGATGCGAGATAGAACTGTGCATTGTCTGCTCATCACGCACCCCTGTGTGATTCAGGACATGGAGGGCACCGTGACGCGAACGGTTCAGAAATCGTTGCACCTAACAGCGGGAACTCGTTGCTCCTGTCGGCATCCGTGCCGCTGTTTACAAACACGTGACGAGCAACTCTCTCTAGAGGCACGTGAAGAGGAAAAAGGCGCTTTGTTCAAGACAAGGGCCTGAGTGTCTGACCCTCCTTCGCTAGCTCCGCTATCCGTACCCCGCGCCCTGGTGGCTTACGGTCTAACTACCTTGAAGCGACGGTTGCCCAAGAAAAAGATGGTATGTACCTCACCATTTTTCGCTGGGGCCTGTGATAAACTACTATATTCAGATTATACATAGATGCACTGATAGTGTAACTTTTGCTCTGGTATCCTTCCAATGAACTAATACGCGAATGCATAGCTTTTAGGCTCCTATGAACAAGTGCCAGTGAAGTTTCACTTCAAGGTTTACTAAATTATACTTCCTTAGAACATTTTCATGGTTTTATACGGTTACATGGTTTGTTTGTTTTTATTTGCTTGATTCCTTTCGTCTTCCGGCGGTAATAACGCCGAAGGAAACTTACATTTTGATTTCCGACTCAGGTTCGGCGTCTGGAAATGGTAGAGACCTAACTTTTTACCTGCACATATCTGTACACGCATTACTAAAATGTTCAAATTCTTTTATTTGCAAACGTATTCTTACAGTTGACAGACTAAACGACATTGCACTGAGGAAAAGAGCGGCCAATATTACTATTGCATTTTCTACGACTGTGATTACTACGACTGGAATTATTATTTTCATTATTAATATTAATATTAGTATTAGTAGTAGTAGTAGTAGTAGTATCAGTAGTAGTAGTAGTGGTAGTAGCAGCAGTGGTAGCAGTAGTGGTGTTAGTGGTGTTAGTAGTAGTAGTAGTAGTTTCAGTAGTAGTGGTAGTAGTAGTAGCAGTAGTAGCAGTAGTAGCAGCAGTAGTAGTACTAGTAGCACTAATAATGGTTGTGGTAGTAGTAGCAGTAGTACCAGTAGTAGTAGTAGTAGTAGTAGTAGTGGTAGTAGTAGTAGTAGTAGTCGTAGTCCTCGTCTGAGGAGCGCGGGAAGCTCGGCAAACAAAAAAGTTTTATTTCCCCACCAAAATGTTGCTTATTAGCGCCCTCTGTTCGTGACTTTTGCAGCCAGTACTGCACAAGTGTATGTTTCACCGGTAGGTGCCTCTAGCTGTACCAGAAGTCTAGGGTGAGTATTCAAATGAGGCTTCATTTTGTGCGTCTTACGCAGTCTTACGCCCGCAAAGTTTACATAGTGCGAGACCATCGTGTTCACCGCAGGGCGTCATCATTATGGCGGTTTTCTACAGCTGATGCATCTAGCGTAGCTATGTAAGTAGCTATTTTCGACATTGCATAGTGTGGCGTGTTACATGGCATATTATATTTTTTTAGGTTGCTGTTGTGCGCTCGAGTGCTCTATCGCCTTTCTCGCGCATTCATTGGTCGCGGTTCTGACAAGTTGTGTGTTTGTAAAATAAGGTGGTGCACTGTAATGGCATTACTGAACGTTCTAATATATATAAAGAGAACTTAATTTTTCCAGTGATATTGGGATATCGTGAAGTTCGGCTAAAAGGGCGTAGACCAAAAAACAATACCTTCTCTTTTTTTCTTCTCTTTTCTCGGCAGAACCGCATACTGTATATAACGCTATACATAGTGTGCACGTGCGTCACGCAGCGCCCCTTCGTCACTTTCGAAACGCGCCACCGACATGCCCGGGTACCTACTCACTCCGTCGCCAACCGCTGCCGTGTTGTTTCCTCGTGTTTGCGCCCGTTCAGCTTTGCCTCACGATGAAAGTTTGAGCAATCATCAGCTGCTGGTGAGGCTAGTTGATTTAGCTGTCCACGAAGAGGGAGCAGAGCGTCGGGGTGTTCTTTTTGCCGTACGTTATTACCTATCACCTAAAATTGGAACGCACATTGCGATTTTCAGAAAAGCACCGGCGTGTTTGGCTGGCGCACATTAACCAAAACGACTTGAAGAACCTTGGTGATATTTGCGTTTCCAGATGTAACTTCATTGCGGGTAAGTGCTATATACATGCACGTACCTGCAAAGAGAAATAGCTTACCGTAATACTGCACATACAAAATTGTCCGTGAACACTGCGTGCACAAACAGCGTGTCAGGGAGGTGGTAAAAATCGTGATGACGATTACGGGAATCCGGATATTGCATTGAAACCAACTGTGACAATGTATGTGAAGCAATCAATATTGATTGACTCGCGGTTTGAAGTATATAGCTGACCGGTTCGAGTTGGGGGGGGGGGGGCAGTTTTTGAATTAGTTCATTGCTTCCCTAAAGCGGTCTCCATTATTTCCAGGGACTCCACTGCACATTAGCGCACAACAACATAAGTAAAGTACAAGGTAAAAAATGCGTGAAAACATACGCAACAAAAAAGAAGAGTGACCGGCATTGCCGCGGCACGCACCTTGGGAAGTCTCTACCTCGCCTAATATTTTCCACGGCTCTTTCCACAAATTACAATCAAGGAGGCTCAACATCAGCACTGTTTAAAACACTTGGGGTGCCACACTGATAGTTTGGTAGAGTGGGCCGCAGCAATATATTACTATATTAATTATATTAAATCTCTTGTAAACTTGCCTCGCTCTACACATGACTTTTTTTCGATGGGAGCTGCTGCGCTTCGCCGGTACGCTCTTAAAATTGCGGCTAGAGAGGCTGTGGGCTTCTACTTGTTCTCGGGCCACGTAATTTCTGGTGAAAGTGACATAATGGGCCCTCGTACGTCGTGGCGGGCTGCCGGTGTATGCGGTGTCTGGTACACGTGTCACACATATAGATTTTCTGGTCTTGTATCGAGTGAACAAGCTGGGTCTTCCTGATCCGATTAGCTCGTTGAAGTAAGACAATGAAAAAACCGCACGGCTTTTCTTTCAACAGCGCGCGGAGCAATAGATGACGAGCCTTCAACAAACCGAGCGGCAGCGCGCGAACTGCTGTAGGTACCTGCAGGGAGGTAACCGGGCATGGCGGCAGAGGGCGACAATGGCGGAAGTGGCATCACATGAACACTGTGTATATACTCTAATTGCAACGATGATTCTTGAACATTTTAGGGGTCTTTGCGGGAGACGACGACGAAGTGATTCTGGCGTAGAACACTGCTGTCACTATCAGTAATTTTTCAAAGTTTTTCTGCGACTCCGTGGAAGACACCGTTCCAGTGACTGCGGCGATGGACGTGGATTCGCCTGGGCTTCCACCGCAACTATCGACGTCGTCCGTAGCTACCACGAGAAAGCGTACGGGTCACCTGAGTGATGCCGACAGCGAGGACACGCTGATTTACTCTACGGCCAGCGACGAAAGCTCCGATGAAGGCGACTTCGTGCCTGTGACAAGGCGGCAGCGAAAAAGAAGACTAGTGATGCCGTCTTCAACAACAAGTAAGAATGTGACGACGACGCGAGAGCCCACGATATACACAATTCTGATTGTGCCGGTCGATGCGGCTCATGGTCTCAACCGGCTCAATCGTCAAGTCACGTCTAGGTTTCTTGAATAACTCGCCCAGGGAGAGATCACGGACGTGTAGATTAATGGCCGTAAGAATATCCTCGCCGTAGACGTCGCTCAACGAAGCACATTGGAAGTGCTGAGCAACGTCAAGATGTTGAATAACATCAATGTTCGCTCATATATACCTGATGGCCGCGACTCTACGGCAGGTGTCAATTACGACGTCGACATTTCTATCAGCGAAAAGGACTTTGCTGCTCACATCAAACCGGTGCCTGCAGAACTTACTATACTGCAAGCTCGTCGCCTTGGCAAATCATGCTGCGGTTCAATCACGCTCGTGTTCAAGGGTGACAGCCTTGCATCGCAAGTCAAGGTCGGCCATTCTCGACACACAGTGCGGCCCTTTGTACCGAAGCCCCTTCAATGCCGGAAAAGTTATAGATTAGGACATGTCAGTGCTGTTTGTACAAACCTGGCTGTGTGCTCGCTATGCTCAGAATCACATAGCGCAGACGCTTGCCAGGCAGAACTTCGAAAATGTCGAAACTGTCATGGCCCTCACGAAGCATCGTCAAAAGGTTGCCCAATCATGAAAAAGGAAATGCAAGTGTTGAGGCAAATGGTCCGGGATGGCTCAACTCACAGGGAGGCCGCTCCCCAAGTACGACGCCGGCGGTCTCGTCGCCGGAGGCCCCTAGGAAACCCAGTGTTGAAGCAAGGATTGAACCTCACCAAATGGCCGCCCGCATACCACCTCAAGCGTTCATACACGCCGACAACAAATATTCCAAGCAAGACAAGAGCATCACCGGCTCGCCTGAAGCATGACCAGCGCTGCCAACGATAGACCCACCGTTGGAGCCACCGCATCACTCCTCTACAATAACTTCGGAACGAGAATGCGGTGATAGTCGCGACAAAGAAATCGTAGCCATGGTAAAGGCCCTTATGAATACCATTCGTATGCTCCTCACTAGCGTCGACAGTCCGGCTGCAAAGAGTGCACTTCAGTTAGTGGATGCGCTGAAGCCGGTGCTATCATGTCTGGAAAGGCACCATGGCTCCGCCTCTGCAAGCCTTTCGCAAGGTGTTCGAAGGAGCTTCGATATTTCAGTGGAATGCCCGAGGCCTCAAGCCCCGTATTTCTGATATCCGACTATTTGTGTTCAAAAACCAGTTTCCAATTATTGTTATCTGTGAGCCAATGCTACACAATGCAATACGACTATCCAGGTACGAAGCCTTCAAGTCCGCTACCTGCAACGAACAGAGTAAAGTCATTGTATATATCAGATGCGACCCACCTATATCGAGCACCGTGTAGCACCTCACGATGACAACCACTATGTCTGCCTGACAGTTAAACGTAGAAACCTCAATTTCACGCTTGTAGGCGCATATATATCACCATCAAACCGTTTTGATCCTGAAAGACTACGTGCACTGTTAACAGCCACACCTGGACCATGGATCATCACCGGAGATTTCAACGCTCCCCACCCACTATGGGGAAGTCAGAAGACAGACAGTCGCGGAATGCAAGTATTCTCCTTTGCTCTGGAGCAGCAGCTGCTTTGTGTAAACGACGGAAGCCCAACGTTTCTACGGGGAACGACATACAGCAGCTGTCTTGACTTGACATTTGTGTCACGAAGCCTAAATAGAAAGGTCAAGTGGTTCGCAGACTATGAAACTCATGGAAGCGACCACATACCAACTTATTTGAAGATCAAG